ATCAAGACTCGAGGACACCATCTAGCCATGTATCAACAGTTAGTTGCCCAACATTTCTGTGCCTCAGTGTCATCTGTGTAAAACGAAAGTGTTGGTTTTGCTTGAACTTTGAAAGCAATAAACATCTCTGGGATTCAAGACTACTAAACAATCCATGGTCCTTTCTTAAAGAAATGACCTCATCTTTCCCTTAGGTCTTGAATCATAACCAGACATGACTACTTCTCACTTCAAGACACCAAAGAAAATAGTGCTAAGCACAGAAAAGACCTGGAGATTTCCTTTGACAATCTCTCTTTTAGGAAAGAACATTAGGAACCCATGAAGTACAAGGTATTGACCAGGTCCCTCTTTGCCAGTGTTTTCAGTTTTCAGGACAATGTCTCTTTCTGAAGGTTCTAGAAACACTATCTACTGGTTGATCATTTTAAGGGGAAGAATGAGAGTGGAAAGGATGTTTGTAGAATGATGAGTGTGAGGCTTAGGAAGGTCAAGGAACCAAACATAACATCCTAATTAGCACGTCCCCGTCTGCTGCTCTCCTCTCACTTGTCTCTCTTTTCTTCTGCCAAGATAATAAAAGGATTTTTAAGTGGCTTTGAAGATAGACTGTTTTTCCTTGAACTATAAAAAGACCTAAATATTTATATTTTTCATAATTTAACACCTCAGAGATGAGAAGCCAGAAACAAGTACCATTACCCCTCTCAGGAGCAAAGCTTGTGGCTTTTGGTACATTTGTTTGTTTGTTTGTTTGTTTTAGCACTAGGAATGGAGCTTGCTGGTCTCAGGTATGCTAGGCAAGTGCTCTGTCATTGAAGTCACGCACTCCCAGCCTCAAATCTTCCTTTTTAACAGGCTTTCTCACACCATCCCCACATTATTTGAGAACTTTATCTCAATGACAGAATCAAGGTCATGCTATTGCTAATAACTGACCTCATATATTGTGTCTCTGGGTCACCCTGATCCATTTTGAGGAAAACATTCTGATTAGCACACAGCTTTAGAACACAGCAAGCATGCCATATGCTAATTATGGCCAGTGACAGCATGAAATAAAAGTGTATTGCTGAACACTTTCAGTTTCTTATAGTGATGGTAAGGTGGCGTGTAATGGGGCCATTTTAGCCTCAGACATCACTCCAAAAAATTCCAAACAGATATAGACAAGCCGTCAAGACCCAGCACCTTTCCCCTCAGGCTGTTTATCCACTGGAATAGGATGTCCCAAAGCCACACTTCCCCCAGCTGAAGTGCTGATAAGCCCAGCTATCAGAAAGATATTGCTGGAAGTGTGATACCCAAGGCGGTCACATTTTCTTGATAGGTTAGTCATATGAAAACTGACAAAGAAGGAAAAGGAGCAGCAATGTGGTGCAATATTAACAGACAGCTGTCCCCTGGCTTCCCGATAAATAGGATGACTCAAATTGCTGAGCGGTGTGGTCACTGCCAGAGGAATGGCCCTCTCACATTTCTTCCTGATTCACACATCAGAGTGGCCAGCTTGTCATCTCCTCCCTCTTGGGCTTCCCAGACACTGAGTCTGGAATGAAAATTCACCTGCCTCTGAGTTGGTCACTGGGTGGGTGGAGGGGGGGCGGCAGGGGTGTTACTTGGGTTCCCAGGTTGGAAGATTATCTCACCCAGCCCAAGCTATATAACTGGCTGGTGTGGAGGGGCTCCACAGGCCAGCTCCAGAGGTTCATTCCACAGAAGGAAGCACACAGACTGACTGCTGCCATGATGGTGCTGAGAGGGGAGGAGCTGGTACGTAGCATCATGTTTACCGGACAAAAGTGCTTCATCTTTAAGTTAAATGCTCTCTTTTTTTTCAGGCATAATGCAAAGGAAATTTGAAAGTGTCACACATAGGAAAGGGTTAATTTATATGATGAAACAAGTGAAATTGGAAAAAATGGAACTACTAGCAATGAATTTTCTGCAAATTTCCTATTTATTATTTTCTTCTTGGGTTTTATTACTAAGGTATAGAATCACATATAGTCATCAAAATGCCTTAGGGTAGAACTTTGATTGCAAGATTATATGTCTGGACACTTTGCAATTTAAGGCCAAAATGAAAGAACCTAAAAATCAGCGGGATAGGAAAGTGGGGGCCTGTGAATTTCCTAAGAGAAATGCAGTTTTCTGGATTAAAAGTAGATTTATGTGTGTCAATCTGATGCACACCTTGACTTAACTGAGAGATTAGGACAGGCACTTGATTCTGGGATATGTGTAGCTATGCTTCACAGCCTGAGACTTGACAGTCGTGGCTATCAATCATCAGGCAGGAAGGACTAAGAACCTCCCACAGCATCCTCTGTGGAGGATGACCCCAGAATGGGTAACACTGCTTCTGATTTCACCATCTTCTTCACTTGCAGGTGCCAGGGAAAAAGAACAGCCATGAGGAAGCAGGGGAATTCCTCCCTGGGGACTTCAGAGATGGAGAGTATGAAGCTGCTGTTACTTTGGAGAAACAAGAGGATTTGAAGACCCTTCCAGCCCATCATGTGAACCTGGGGGAGCAACAATGGAAAAGAGAGAAACAGCAAGAGGCAGAGGTGAGAACTATCCATGGTGTCCGCTAGTGGGACACTGGGGCTGGGGTGGGGGTGGAGGTCCCTGGGAGGAAGAAGAGAGAAGGAAAATGAATAAGACCAACCTAAATGTCTCTTCGCCAAACTTGAACCCATAAAGGAGCAGTATATATGGAAATGGCTTGGGGAAATAATTATTAAATGAGACCACAACCTCTGGATTCTGAATCAAGATTTATTATGCTATGCCCCAATTTTGATCAAAAGACAAAGAAAGATAATCCTCTCCAAGGAATGTCCAACGCTATACACTCTTGACTTAACCTCAAACAAAGGAAATTTATTCTTTTCAATGATCTTTGATCTATGGATCACAGTCAGACTAAGCTTTTTACATTTATTGGCATAGTCTGATTGAAAGTGAATTTCTATAACTTACTAACATTGATAAAAAGTGAGTTAGTTAGCAGTGGTCTTTGTTTCAGACACCCTAAGTAGAGAACCATTTGAGAGCATGGCATTGATGGGCTATTGATATTTGAGGACTTCATAAGTATTGTTATTTTCTCTTGGGTTAAAAATATTATGTTTTTGAAAATGATAAAACAAATTCTATAGAAATCCAGGGCTCGTTTATGGTACCAATTAAAAGATTATCACTGAGTGACTAGATTGTGTCTCCAATTAGTCAGTTAAAGAAAGTAAATAAATTAGATTAAAATTAGGCTTACAAACACTTGAATGAGGAATCACTAAGTTGAAGTCAGAGATTTATTTTTAGATATTTTAAATTTCCTTTTTGCTCAAACGCATCCTTAGCTCAGACCTTGCAGAATTTCAATACCACCATAGTTAGAACTCTTTTTTAAACACCTGATGATTTCTTTTTTAGCTCAAAAAGAAAAAACTCGGACAAAGATCGAAGCTTGAAAACTTAGAAGACCTTGAAATAATCATTCAACTGAAGAAAAGAAAAAAATACAGGAAAACTAAAGTTCCAGTTGTGAAGGAACCAGAATCCGAAATCATTGTAAGGATTGTTTGGTTGTATAATATTGCGTATCTAATGTGAACTGCAGCAGATGAATACTGTGGAGGGGAATAATGTTGGAAAGCTGTGATAACTTTCTTTTTCTTCCTGTCCTTTTCTCTTCCTCCTCCTCCTGCTCCTCTATTTTCTCCTCTTCTTCCTTCTCCATTTCTTCTCCGGCATACTTTTCTCTATTCTTCCTTCTCTTCCTCTTCCTCTTCCACCTCCTTCTTTTTACTCCTCCACATTTTAGGCAGAACCTGTGACTGTACCTCAGTTTCTGAGAGCTGCACTAGAGAATAAACTGCCAGTAGTAGAAAAATTCTTGTCAGATAAGAACAATCCTGATGTCTGTGATGAGGTAAGGCTCACACAATGCACTGCAGAGCACAGTTACTATTTCTATGTTTCTTAGGCTGCCAAATACTATATTGTGTCTATGTTTTTCACCTGAAAGTTTCTCCAGCTGTTGCCATATCTGCCAGAAGCATAAGAGAATACATTGTTCCCTCCCCCAAGTCCCCCAAATACTGGATTAGCATAATGGATTTCATGGGAGTGCTTTTGTCTTCATATAATTCTGATTTATATGAGTACAGTTTGTATTTACCTTCGTAGATCCTTGGGACAGACTTTTACTAAGGCAAGGCCAAAAGTTACTTTTGGAAAAAGATGTTAATAGTATCGTCTTTGATTGGACCCAAGTACAGCAGCACTAGAAAGGGGACATGGAAGATGGAATTCAACTTCTTGTGCCACCATCACTTGTTTGTTTGATTTTGAACAACTTATATGCATTGTATTCACCTTGGTTTACCTTTAAACATGGGTCACAGGAGTGAAATAATGCCTAATGTTGTTCCAGTCCCATTAGTCTATTAAGTCATTAATATAAAGCCAACTTATCAGAAATCAATGACTCATATTATTTTCCACGTGAACTAAAATGGTAGATCACACTAAAACTGAGTCTCTATTCTATTAAAAATGAATTAAATAATCACAGCAACAGTTCTGGATGGAAGACAAGGGTGTGATGCACTCGGCATGTTCGATGAGAACACAGCAGGTGCAAATACAAGAAAGGGAAATGCCAGAGTTTGAGCTGGGTTTTAGGTTTTGAGTCCATATCCCTCAACGTTGGCCTTTAGCACTAAGGAGGTCTAGGGCAGGAAGTTTAAATTCTAGCTGTAAGATAATTGTTCTAATCCTGCAATTCTAGTTAACTTTGGCATTTCTGATTCATTAGGAAGTGCTGGCACTTCTATCAGTTAGGTCATCATAGACACAGCTTCTTACCTCTTAAAGGATTATGTGAATTTATATATGCAGTGCTATCTCTTGTTTTAATCTCTGACAGTATAAACGGACCGCTCTTCATAGAGCATGCTTGGAAGGACACTTGGCAATTGTGGAGAAGTTAATGGAGGTTGGAGCCCAGATCGAATTCCGTGATATGGTAAATATATTTCTTTGCTTGGAAATGAGCCAAAATAAGCAGACCACATGAAAGCTGAGGAAAACCTACAATGAAAAAAAAAAAAAAAAAAAAAATGGCCCGATTGGGTTTAAAATTTATCTGAGAGAACATGGAAAAAACCCTTTTTCCCCACAAAAAAAAAAGGGGG